GATGAGGGATATATATTCAGGTGATATGATTTGACTAGAATGAAATGTAAGGGGGGATACGGGCGGAAGTCTTTCCAAAGAAACAATTTAGAACATAGTTGTCTAAATGAAAAATATTCTACTGCCAAAGCGAATTTTAATAGGGGTTGGTTGTTTGTAACTAAATAATTTAACCATATAATCTCTGGAATATCTTCACCATGAAGTTCGGAATGTAATTCTTGCTATAAATATTAAAGCGTGTGACAGCTTTGCTACTTTATGATTTTTAAGAAACTTAGCAAATCTTTGATGATGATGATTTGGAGTTTTAATGTGTGCTTTCTGACATAATGCGTATTTCGCAAACCTTTATGATGGGCAAGGTGTAAATAGATCTAGTTGCCCTAACATCTATTAAACTTTTAATGATCAATCAATAAATTTCTGGTGTCAGTATAATTGTGAAATCTGCAGAAATTTGTATGTATATCAGGTCTTGATAAGGCTACATCCTCAAATAAAATACATTTCTGTTTGCACTATGCCACTGTGTTGAAATGTGCCCAGTCAGATGCAGGGTGTATTGTTTTGACCAGTCTGTGTGTATATGTGTCACAGATTCTCATTAAAGTTTGACCGCCTCCGTGGTGTAGTGGTTAGAGCGTCCGCCCGGAGAGCGGAAGGTCGCGGGTTCGATCCCCGACCGCGTCATACCAAAAGACGTTAAAATATGGTACTTGTTGGTCCCTGCCTGGCGCTCAGCATTAATGGGTACAACAAGGACTGGTCGGCTCGGAGTCAGTATAATGTGTCTGAGTGGGGTATTCATGCTTCACTGCGGCATGGTATCTCAGTGGGCTAGCACTATAAAACCAGCTTAAGTCTGGGCTAGTACAAGCAGCCACACATACACACGCATGCACGTCGTCATATGAGCGAAATATTCTCAAGGACAACGTTAAACCCCATTTCACCTGACCTCACATCATTAAAGTTTAATGACATTTTTCTGCTTGACTGACCTATGCGTTGATCCATGCTGTGAGACACAGCATGAATATACATGAAAATGTCTGAGGCTTGAAAACTGGTGTTCACATGATGCTTGATGATGTCAAGAATAAAAGTGACCGTCTATATATTCTTCATGAAGCATCCTGTTCCATTATAAACAGTCGCCACTGTCCAAATTGTTGATCTGAGTTTGAATGTTCTCCATGTCTTTATTTCTGGCAAGATGGACGGTGGGGTAGCCTGGTGGTTGAAGTGTTCACTCATCACGCCGAAGACCCGGGTTCGATTTCCCACACGGGTACAATGTGTGAAACCTATTTCTGGTGTCACTTGCCATTATATTGCTGGAATATTGCTAAATGGGGCTTAAAACTAAACTCACTCACTCACTATTTCTGGCAAAAAATTTACGGTCAGGTGTATGGCTTGTTAGTTTAATGCCGGAAAAGGTAAGTATTCCAGCTATATGACAGGAAAAAATTGAATCTGGACCCGACAATCCAGTGATTGACATCATGAGCATCTATATATGGTATTGGGATATGATGACATGTGTCAACCAAGTCAGCCAATCCCGTTATTTGCCTGATGTGACCAGCATGGTTTGCTGAAGACTTATTCTAGCCTTTATGTATCACATATGGTTTCGTTCCTCAACACTCATGCTAATACCTCGTAAAAGTCATGCTTGTCGTTAAAGGTGACTAACAGGATCGGGTGGTCAGGTCCTCTGACTTGGTTGATATGTGTCATCGTATCCCAGTTGCGTAGATCGATGCTGATGCTGATGATCATGGAATAGTGTGGTCCAGACTCGAATATTTACCGACGCCATATTATAAGCTGGAATATGGCTGTGTGCGGAATTAAACAACAACCAACAAACAAACAAATCATACGAGAGATTGTAGATAAGACAGTCTCATAATTAAACTAAGGTATTGACTTGATCCTTGAAATCTGCATCAAAATCACCCTGAAGATACAGGTTAGAATTGGTCTTCACCAACCCATGCTTGTCATAAGGAGTGAGTAATGGTATTGTATTCCATTAAGGTAGATCTATGATCATAATGGCTATCACTGGATTGTCTGGTCCAGACTTTATTTACAGTACATCAAACTGGTATGTCTGGTATATAAGCCTTACTACATACTACCTACATCTTCTCATCATGATCATTAGACTGACTGACTGACTGAGTTTGGTTTAACGCCGCTTTTAGCAATATTCCAGCAACATCACGGCGGGGGACACCAGAAATGGGCTTCACACATTGTACCCATGTGGGGATTCAAACCCGTGTCTTCGGCGAGACGAGCCAATGCATTAACCACTAGGCTACCCCACCGCCCCTGATCATTAGACACACATATCAAAATTAATGAATAAGAATAATAAAGTGCATTTGTAATGCGCACAATCCAGACATACAGCCTGCTCAAGGCGCTACAAAATAACATTAAGAATCTGAAGTAGAGATTTGAATTTGATAGGAAGGTAAGCAGGAAAGTCAGATGCATTGAGAGAACAAGTGTGTTTTGAGTCTTGATTTGAACAGTTCGAACGTGGGACAAAGTTTGACGTCAGATGGAAGAGTATTCCACAGCACTGGGGCAATGTGATGGAACGTTCTGTAGCCAAAGGATTTTAGTCTGTAGGAAGGAAAATTGTACTATGCAAGTTAATCTTGTTGTTACACTGTCCGGTAATAAAATGTGTTCATTCTATATCAGGACTTATGTTTGCAATCTGTTAATTTGTTAAGTTGACAGAAGATTTCAGTCCATGATGTTGATAATAATTTCAGCAAAATTGTGTATCCCTCCTGTACTGACACATTTTACTTACTCGGGCTGCGCAATATAACCAGTTTACCGGTATTTACCGGTTCAGACATGAAAACAATACGTATTGCGATACCCTGATCGAAAACCGTTATTTTGACTTGCATTCGGAAATGTTCGGATATTCCGTGAACACTCAAATAAATCTTCGGATATGTCCCTGTTTCATTTGTGCCAAATATTAATCATATTTTTATTTTATCATGATTAAAAGTTGTTATTAAAGCTTAATCAAGCCTAGTGATTTTGTTGTGTTTTTGCTCTATAAATCAAGAATTAACTCGATTATAAGTAGTTTTTTGTTTGAAATTTTTCATGCAATATATTGCAATACATATCGCAATACATGCTTTCGCATCGCAATATATCGCAATATGAAAATTCTCAGCAATAGCCACCCCTCTTACTTACCTGGTTCCATAGGGCCTGCTTTACCACATACCATGACATTATTCACAACCACAATCATATCACAAGTACACAGATGCTGTGAAATTGACCATAGTTGTCAGAGAATAGATGTATATATCATAAATGCCCAACACTGACTCTTAACGCCAGTGGTGTCAGGTCAGATTGTTACATTCATAACAAGTATCCGACACAATACACCAAAGTGCTTCTGCTTAACTTGTTATGGTAATAATTATTTTAAGTTTAAATAGTAAAACTTGCAATTAAAATAACATGATATTGAAATGTATAACTCTTGGTAAAATAATAAATTGCGATACTATTGTTTTTTATTATTGCATCAGGGCGGTGGGGTAGCCTTGTGGTTAAAGCGTTGGCTCGTCACGCCGAAGAACCACTAGGCTACCCCACCGCCCTGTTGTACATGCAAAATTTCATGGACAATATTGTTGTCTCTTGTTTGCTCACCTGAAGCGATTTCATGTAGATTTTTTACCAATACAAAATAGTTTCCTGAGAACTTAAGCTTTACATAGGCTGTGCCCTTCCTGCAGAATCTTTTTTCAGGTGCTCAATATGTTTTACACTTTGACAGTAAAACTTTACATTTCATTCAAAATAGCTGTTTTGAGAATTGTTTGCATATATCAACTTCCAGTATGTACAAATTCCTTGTTCATACTATACATTTTCTGCAAATTATATTTAAATGAACCTCACCCCCATCATGATTGCCCAAATGGCTGATACGAGAGAAAAAGAGGGAGAGCTGGTAGAAAGCATGTGCGGGACCATATAATATTATCTGATACAAGTTCGTGTAACTGTTAATTTTGATACATATTTCATGTAAATCATCACATCAATTCATTTCCATAAGTATGTTTCTAACTGTATTGTTGTATTGAGATGAACTACGAAGTAGAAAAAGTGTGACCAATAATGAAATGACATTTTCATGTCCTGAAATCAATACCAAAAGACATTAAAATATGGTACTTGTTGGTCCCTGCCTGGCGCTTGGCATTAATGGGTACAACAAGGACTGGTCGGCTCGGAGTCAGTATAATGTGTCTGAGTGGGGTATTCATGCTTCACTGCGGCATGGTATCTCAGTGGGCTAGCACTATAAAACCAGCTTCAGTCTGGGCTAGTACAAGCATCCGCACATACACATACACACGCATGCACGTCGTCATATGAGCGAAATATTCTCAAGTACGACGTAAAACCCAATTTCACCTCACCTCACCTCACCTCACCTCACCTCACCTCACCTCACCTCACCTCACCTCACCTCACCTCACCTCACCTCACCTCACCTCACCTCACCTCACCTCACCTCACCAAATCACAGGAAAGTTCAAGTGTTCCTTTGTTTGTTTTGTTTGTTTTAAACATATTTTATTCATTCAAGAAAAGGATTGGGCACAAGTTATCCAACTTAGAAAAGCCCTCTCCGTTCCTTCAATATTTTCCAGTTTTCATCACCAGCATTGAATAGTGCTGTGGTGATGTCAACTGGAAAATAATAAAGGAACGCTTTAATTTTCCTTTGATCCTTTATATTTTTTTTCTCAGTATATTTGACGATTATAGCTGTCAATTTCTTGTATAATATTTGGCAACAAATGTTGCTGCGTGCTATGTTGAGGAATATTAGCTATTTTTTACCTCATTTTATCTCATTTTGCCTCCTGTCTTATATTTGACCTTTATTTAATGTAGGAACTTTGTTGCAGAATGACAAAGGCAAGTCTGGTCCCCTCAATGTCATCACAAGTTTGTTTCGCTCCTCTCCTGACGAGAAACGTCGAGATCGTGGATCCACCTCATCTGAGCATGGAACGTCCAAATCGACGGAGCTCCCTCGTATCGAAGGAGGAGGTGGCCACCTGACAGGGCAACAGAACCAGAATCGACCCACGTATCTTTCAACGGGCGGATCACGGACATCACGCTCACCGAGATCCAGCCCCAACCCTGACAGATCCCCAAAGAGTCCTTCACCAAATCCCTCCAAGGTCAACTATCCCGTCCGTACAAAGACAGCTGAACAACTGAAGTAAGTCTAGATACTGGCATGAATCTAGGATCTAGAGTGAGGCTAGGTATTAAGTAGCTTTTAGTAAATCTAGGACACAATCTTAGAACAAGTCTAGATATTTAAGTGGCTTGGAGAAACTGTAGCACATCAGACTTTGAGTAAGTCTAGGTATATATAAGGAGCCTTGAGTAAATCAGGGATACAGTGTTTAAATAATCTAGGTATATAAGAAGCCTTGAGTAAACTTGGGGGCATAATTTTAGGGTTAGTGTATAAGTGACCTGGAAAAAATGTAAGACACAGTCTTAGAGTAAGTCTAGATATATAAGTACCTGAAGAAAATGTAGGCCACAATGTTAGAGCAAGTCCGAGTATATAAGAACCCTTGAGTAAGTCTAGGATACAATCTTAGAGCAAGTCCAGGTATATAAAAAGCCTTGAGTAAGTCTCAGCACTCAGCAATATTCCAGCTATATGGTGGCGGTCTGTAAATAATTGAGTCTGGACCAGACAATCCAGTGGTCAACAGCATGAGCATCAATCTATGCAATTGGGATACGATGACATGTTGTCAACTAAGTCAGCAGGCCTGACCACAATGACAAGTATGGGTGACTGAAGACCAATTATAACCTGGATCTTCACAGGTAAAATTAAATTTGAGTAGAAGCTATCATTAGTTCTTTTATGATAAGGAGACTAATATGTAACGTAATGTTTGCTGTAAGATTATTGGCATAATATTTTAGGAGGTTTGTTTCCCCTGATGAAGTAGAAGTCAGATCAAAAAGATAATTTGGACATCATTATGGAATTTGACAATAACAGTGATTAGGTGATCAATATTACTGACATGTAAAACTACGGAGAACAATATTTGTTGTCATGGTGAGATGACAATGTGGAATGTATTGGGAGATAAACCTGATATCGCCAGTTGATTTGTTACGTAACTTATACCAGGATGTAGGATAGGGCAGATATTCAAGCTGAGCAGGAAGTCGTCGGTTAGGTGTCTACAGCTATCAAGTCTGACTGTGATGGGCATGTTGGAGGCCATATTTGCAAGGTCCTATTATTACCTTGCATCTGAAGACAATGGGAAGCATTTAGAAATGCTGTCTCAAATGTCACAATTGATTTTCCATGGCTATATCGAACTGCAAACAAGCTGATGTGTGGGCATGGCTCTGTCATGCATGCAAGTAGTGTGTTTGGTTTGATGGGAACGATGATTGATGTAAAGATAAACATTGAGATAGTCATGGCAGGTTGGTAATAGGGGTGGGGTAGGGTGGTCTCGGGTGCATTATGGTGGGCTAGGTCAGGCTGATGTGGTGTAGGATGGGCTGAGGTTGGGTAAGAGGTTTGGGATGGGTTGAGGTGGGTTAGGATGGGCTAGGGAGGTCTGGGATGGGCTTAAGTGGGTTAATATGGTGTAGGGTGGGCTGAGATGGGTTAATATGGTGTGGTATGGGCTGAGATTGATTAATATGGTGTAGGATGGTCTGAGATGGGTTAATATGGTGGTGGGTGGGCTTAGGTGGTCTAGGATGGGCTTAGGTGGGCTAAGGTGGTCAAGGATGGGCTGAAGTGGGCTAGGAGGTCAGGTGGGCTGAAGGATGGGCTGAAGTGGGCTAGGGAGGTGAGGTCTGAGATGGGCTGAAGGGCTGAAGTGGGCTAGGTGAGGATGGGCTCTAAGATGGGCTGAAGTGGGCTAGGGAGGTCAAGGATGGGCTGAAGTGGGCTAGGGAGGTCTGAAGTGGGCTAGGCTGAAGTTGGGTAAGGATGATCTAAGATGGGTGAAATATAGCTTGGGTGTAGCCCAAGTGCAGCAAGATTACAGAAAGTGAGCATGGTGTTCATTAGTTGTATATTATGGGATAGTGAAGTAGCCGAATGGTTAAAGTGTTCACTTGTCATGCCAAAGGCAGTGTATGAAATAAGGCCTGTCTTACAGCCCGAGACGGGCTAGATTTCTGACGTACGGTCTATAATTTTACAGCAAGCCGATGGACTGGTAAATATTTTTAGATGTCCCATACAACTGAGTAAATTCATCATATCTTGGTGTCTAATCTGGTTAAATCCAGTCTGATGTGTGGCTGGGTTTCTGGCTTATTTCATACACTGCCAAAGGCCTGAGTTTGATTCTCCGCGTGGGTACAGTGTGTGAAGCCAATTTCTGGATATTGCTGAAATACAGCTAAAAGTGGCAATAAACCCAACTCACTCAGAAGTTGTATATGAAATCTGTCCTCTTTGACTGTACACTGTGCTGTAAATGGTTACTAAAGAAGCTATGAGACCTAATAAAGCATTGTTATATTTTCAGGGAAGATGTGTCGATGTGTCGGAGTTCAGGCGACTGGCATACAGTCCAGGACTTCTATGCAACATTGTTTGAGTCCTTCATTGAGCTCAACGCAGCTTTCAAGGTACTTCCTGTTACAGCTACATTGTTTCACCATTAACAGATCGGAGCCAGCAAATTGATATTATTGATTTCTCATTGATTACTCATCGATTTATCATTCACAGCCTTTTACAAATCTGTGTCATGATGACTCATCACAAATTAGGTGTGGGATTAATTTCTTAATTTGGGAGTCATGATTTTCTTTAAACTAAAGATAAATCATGACCTGCTTCTTTGTATCCTGGGGCGGTGGGGTAGCCTAGTGGTTAAAGCTTTGGCTCGTCACGCCGAAGACACGGGTTCGAATCCCCACATGGGTACAACGTGTTAAGCCCATTTCTGGTGTCCCCCGCCGTGATATTGCTGGAATATTGCTAAAAGCGGCGTAAAACTAAACTCAGTCAGTCAGTCAGTCTTTGTATCCTGGCCCGCCCATGATTGTTTTCTGTCCCATATGCCTTGACTTCAGAGAGTGTTTAATACAGAAATACTCACAGTTGATTGGCTGGTGTGAAGTCATTGTTCAACCTGACACGGTCAAGACAATAGGGTTCAGTCTGACAGGGTCCAGACAAACGGTTCAGACTAACTGAGTTAACGTCCAGACTGACAGGGTTACTGGACTAACAGGATTCAGTCTGACAGGGTTCAGTCTGACATGGTTCCTGGACTAACAGGGTTCAACCTGACAGGATTCAGTCTGACAGGGTTCAACCTGACAGGGTTCTTGGACTAACAGGATTCAGACTAATAGGGTTCACCTTACAGGGTCCAGACAACAGAGTTCAGTCTGACAGGGTTCCTGGACTAACAGGATTCAGTCTGATAGGGTTCAACCTGACAGGGTTTAGTCTGACATGGTTCCTGGACTAACAGGGTTCAGTCTGACAGGGTTCAACCTGACAGGGTTCTTGGACTAACAGGATTCAGACTAACAGGGTTCACCTTATAGGCTCAAGACAAACAGGGTCCAGACAAACAGAGTTCAGATCTGACAGGGTTCCTGGACTAACAGGGTCAAGACTCAGTTTCTGATAGGGTTCAGATTAACAGGGTTTCAGTCTGACAGGGTTCCTGGACTAACAGGGTCAAGACAGTCTGACAGGGTCCAGACAAACAGGTTCAGATTAACAAGGTATCCTTGCTAACAGGATACCTGGACTAACAGGGTCAAGACTAATAAGGTTCAGTCTGACAGGGTCCAGACAAACAGGGTTCAGATTAACAGATGTATTTAGGGTCCTGGACTAACAGGGTCCAGACAAACAGGGTTCAGTCTGACAGGGTCCAGACAAACAAGGTTCAGATTAACAAGGTATCTTTGCTAACAGGGTTCCTGGACTAACAGTGTCAAGACTAACAGAGCCCAGACTAACAGTGTTCAGGCTAACATGGTTCAGATGAAACTCACACATACAGTGTCAAGACTAATAGTTTCCCTATAAAATTTAAGAGCCAAATAATTACGGTGTGTTTGTCATAAAAAGCATAAGCAATCTTTGAATATCTTTGAAATTCTATATCTTCTCTTCCTGCTGTTCCCAGGACTTTACATGGCTGATGAAATTTCATGAATATTCATTCTGATAGTTACATTTTATTGCATTAAATAATCTTTACTGAGCTGGTTAATACCAGTATTTTTTCAGTATTTCTGAAAGGAGTGTGACTCATGAATAAAAGATTCACAGATATTTTATGTTGTTAAAATACTTTCTGAATCATCTAAAAAGTAAAGACTTAATACTTACAATCTATCATAAACATTTTGTAGAATGTGGATTGAAAGGAAATTTAGATGTAATGTTTAGATGTCTGAAGGTGTTCTAATAAAAGTGAGAAATTAGTAAATTATTGAATATTTTTGAAGTGTAGATACAGAAAATGAGGTATAGATTCCTGAGGTATAGATACAGATATTGAAAATGAGGGTTTAGGGTGTAAGCTTCAACAATATGTCTGGGCAGTAGGGTAAAATGTTAGTGTAGTAGGGCAGTGGTTAAATGGTCGCTCATCATGACGAAGACCCGGGTTTGATTCCCCACATTTGGTACAATGTGTGAAACCAATTTCTGGTGTCCCCTGCCATGATATTGCTGGAATATTGCTTAAAGCGGCATAAACCTAATCTCACTCAATCACTCAACAATATGTCAGCTGTTTACATGTCACGATACCTAGACTGTCTCACTGTCCCTGAACCACATTATTTTCCATTCCAGCCCTTTCTGCAATGAGTGAGTGAGTGAGTTGGGTTTTAAGCTGCTTTTAGCAATATTCCAGCAATATCACCAGACACCAGAAATAGAGCAGTACTAAATGAAGCAACTCTAGATTTCCTCAGGTTTGGATGACCCAAAACCTGACGATTTACAGTGCGCAGTGTCAACATGAAACGAAAAATAATTGTTTTCACTAGTAATTAGTTTTTGCGTAACACCTACTAAAGCAAGCATTTAAGATAAGAATCAATATTAATTACTTAGTGTGACTATGATCGATAATCGCATTTGGAACCAAAGAAAGGCAATCATTCGAAGCACCGATGTATTGTTCCCAAATTAATAATTTATGAATCCATGTTGAGATCCAAGTGCTAGATCAATGCAGTCAAATTGCCTGTGAACAATATCCATTTGGTTATCAATCACCTGCAAACCACTGAGGTGCATGAACATTTAGCATGTTTTAAAGAGGGGCGGTGTGCATTCCTGCACCCCAAGACATTTAAGATAACATTCTCGGTTGTTCTAAATCAACTTGTGGCTTCATCCCGAATAGCTTTACCCGTGAAGATCCTGGTTAGAATTGGTCTTCAGTAAAAGACGACTAATGGGATCAGATGATCAAGGTCGCTGACTTGGTTGACACCAGTGTTTAAAACTTCCAAAATTCCAAGCCAGACAACTGGATTGGTAACTTTTAAAAATTACTAGTCCGGATACAAATTTGCCTGTTCGGTTTTCAACAGTGAAAAACAAAAATATCAGGTTTGAAGGCATCGCAATGAACTACATAGCACTAACAGGCAATTCACCGATTATAGGTAAACTAAAAGTACACGTATTGTGATTGGTTATCGTAACATGAACTGTCGAATCGTAAGTAGTTTAACATATAATTATCATAATACCTTAAATACCTCAAACTGACGACAAGAGAACCTGTCTGATATTATGAAATATTTACTGTTAGGGGTAAAAAATATCTACCAGACCACCGGACAGGCTACTTTTGAAATTTGACCGTCTGAGATGAAAATAGACCGTTTCCCTGTTGACATGTCATCGTATCCCTATTGTGTGGATTGTTACTCATGATGTCAGTAGCTGGAATATTGCTGAGTGTGACATTAAATAACAAACGACCGAACAAACTAAATAGTTTATGGCAACAAAGCCGGCATTATAACTCATCTCTATATGGGCGGTGAGGTAGCGTAGTGGTTAAAGCGTTCGTTCTTCACGCTGAAGACCCGGGTTCGATTCCCCACATGGGTACAATATGTGAAGCCCATTTCTGGTGTCCCCGCCGTGATATAGCTGGAATATTGCTAAAAGTGGCATAAAACTAAACTCACTCACTCATCTCTATATATAGTGATTCATACTGTATGGTTCCTTGTCCAGTTAACAGAAAAACAATTCTCAGATTATGAACTTATTGATAAGTAAAACTGACCTTTAATTGCTAGAGTAATATGTTTGAAATTAAAAATTGAAATTATAATATTTTTGTCAGCCCACAGAAAATCAGTAGAACCAAAAAAAAATTAAATGTCAAGCCAATCAGTATCTTGACATTTTCAATAGAATTCTTCTGGAAGATTTGAGACTCTTGGCCTTTGCACTAACAAGGCCTTACTTCAAATAAGTGGGATCACAGGTGGCCCAGTCATCTAAGGCCCTTCAATTCACCATTCAGAGTCGTGATCAGTATTTTTGAAATATCATAAATTAATAGTGAATGCAAAGGGTTGGTTTAGACTGTCAGAAGGTTTTGCAAGTAATTCAGGAAATCATTTCATCAATTAATTTAAGTTTTAATGAACTGCTGATCTCTGCATTAACAAGGCCTTACTTTAAATCACTGGGGTCAAGGTGACCCAGTCATCTAAGGCCCCTACCCATGAAGATCTGGGTTAGAGTGGATCTTCAGCAACCCATGCTTGTTGTAAGATGTGACGAACGGGATCTGGTGGTCAGGCTAGCTGACTTGGTTGACACATATCATTGTAGCCCAATTACGTAGATTGCTGCTTATGCTGTTGGTCACTGGATTGTCTGATCCAAACTCGATTTTGTTACAGACCGATGCCATATAGCAGCGTTAAACAACAACCAAGCAAAAAATCTAAGATCCCTAACCAGGGCTCAATTTAGTGCTTTGTTACTTGCATTGGTGCAACCCAATATTACAATTAAGTCCAACCTAGCTATTAGTCCAACTTGCAATTTTTTAGTGGGTAAACATTGAAATAATTCAAAAGCTTATTTTTATCATTACATATTGCAATAAAAGCAGTGCAACTGGAATTTGTCTGGTGCAACTAGGTTTTATCTTAGGTTGCACCTGGTGCAAGTAGTAGTCTATAGGTTAATATCTCTTAAATCAAGTCCTGCTAACTTCACCATGCAGAGTTGCGTCCCTTGGGCATAAAAAAATATCAATGAATGTGGGTATTTGATTATGTTAGTGTGTTAATCAGCCCCATACCTGTACTCAAGGGTTTCGCCAAAGTTGTGCTGAAGGGGTTGTTGTCAGCACAGGTACTACAGATATGTACCCCAGGTACGTTTCTGTATACAGACATGTACCCTAAACAAAGTCAAAATACAGAAACGTACCCGGTACCCTAAACAACGGACGAGTCCATATTCCACGACCCAATACCGAAACTGTATGTAGTTATTCCCGTTCAGCTGATTGCGAGTGGTGTACGTTGTGCACCATGAAATATTCGTTATACTGTGTATGCTCTTATATAACACAATCAAATGCATCTAATACAACAGTATG